AGATAGGGCATTTTCGAACTGGCTGCCGAGATAGGTCGATCTTCCACTCATATTACTATCATACATATTACATACAAAACAAAACGTACATAAAACAAAAACTTTAACAAATTCATGGAACATGAACATATATACTTAGATCTTTTTTTATGCGGTACATGCGTTCCTCAGAAAGCCGCATAAAAAAGTTCTTTACTTGCATATAAAAACAGGGGATGCGTTCCAGCATTTTCAAAAACCGCATAAATTCAGATACTCCATGTAAAAAATTCTAAAAATGCCCCATAAAAAATCCAGTGAGGCAATAGTAAGCAAAAAAATTAACCAAATTATTTCTTCACTTCAACACTTATTATTCCATGTAAATATTAATGAAATAAATAAAATTTTATGTGTATTTTAACCAAAAACAAAAAAAAATACCACAATATATACATGAATTATTTATCAGAAGTATTGTCTCTTACTCATTGGAAAAAGTAATAAAAACTCAAAAAAGCAAAGTCGCTACAGCGAAAAAACGGTTTAAAAACCCTCATAGATTCAAATCCGCATAAAAAACCAGCATAAAAAGATACCTAAGTATATATGTATGTATGTACGATATGTTACCACTTACATATTGCTGTGCAAAATCATCAAATTAGAAAAAATTTAAAAGTCGAATTTAATTAAAGTATGCGTAAGTTATATAAAATGCTAAAAATGGGCTTCAAACGAAGGAGTGGTAAGATGTCCTTACTTTTAATATTTAGGATAATAATGAGGGTTGCCACCTGTTTAAAAAGTTAAACTCATAGTATTTAATAAGTGCAAGGAGTTATTAAAAGCTGGGTATCAAATGAAATGGGTTTAAAAAGCCTTTACCTGTGTGAAAAATCGAGTTTAGCTACTTATTAACAAAATCCCAAACACGAAGACAATGGCGAGCCGAGCACGGACCGGAAGCTAATATAAAAAATATAAATCTTTGTCGTATGAAACGAAATAAAAATGAATCGAAGTAATGACAGATGGCGCTGGTCAAATATTGACTCACAGAAGATACTCCTCATTACATGCATATTCTTACTAAATGATTAAGGTGAATGTAGGTCTGCTTCTCTATTTCTGATTTTTAATATTTGTATTGATTCTACGTTTAAGTTTACCAGGTCAAAACGAAGGACTGATCCTATTTATTTATTTTTTTTTACTTTCAGGCTTGGCCAATGGTTAAGAGGGCGTTCGAATTTTATCCAAATCAAGAATTCGCCGACATTAATGTTATCACAGGTAAGTCACATTAAATACCAGTTCTTACTATTGGAATTTTACTTTTGTGTTTTCTAAGGGGACGTTATCAATTCGTCGCAATATTTTTTTTTTTTTTGTATGCATGTTACCGCATAACTTTGGAGCTCGTCAATTGAAAATTCATTTTCTATCGCAAATTGATTGAAATTACTTGATTTTTATTTTTTCGATAAAAAATAATGATTATTTTGTTATTTGTATTTTTCCAATTAAGAATAATGATTATGTATTCGAAAAACTCAAAAGCTATGCCAGCGTGATTTCCGACGTATCCTTTTCAGAGGTAGTGACACCCTTATAAAAGGAATAAGTCCCAAAACTTTCAGGTCAAAATTTTAGTTGGTTGCGTCTGTATGACTTTTTAAATTTTAAAAATAATCATTATTTTTAAGTGGAATAACAAAACCCAGTAACAATTATAATCTCTCATATAAAAATTTAGGACAATATTATAAAATACGTGAGCTCGACAACGACAAAAAGTCAAAAGCATGCCTTCGACAGGGTTGAGTGTAACATCAAACACATTTTGCATGGAGGAAGGGCAACATTTTTGTCAATCCGTATGGATTAAAGGATAGTCTAATAGTGCAACATTCAACTTCTGTTCAAGAATAATTTTGACATGTCCCATTTCTCTTTTTCTTTTCACATCATCCTTTACATAAACTCCCAGTAACAGACAAAAATATTTGAAGTTTTATAGAATGAATAAATTGTGCGATTTGCCTGTACTTGAAGGACTTTTTAGAAAGCAAAGCGCATGTTTAAATGATCCCCCAATTTAAGGCTTTAAGACTGTTTGTAAATACTTAACCTGTAGCATCAATTTTGCCAATTCGTTGATCATTTATGGATTTAGCTGTGGAGCCTATATTCTTCTGATCTTCTGCAATTTCTGTCATTTTCGAGGTTTTTTCTGGGACCTCCATAGAATTGGAAATCGAAAACCAAAATTATTGACTATGACCAAGGAATGTTCTCTTGCACTTTCGCGAAGTCCTCCTGATCCTTCTTGATCGGGGAGATAGATGGGTGGTATCGTAGCTCTAGTTGAGGCGTAGGTTGTTGCTTCTGTCTACCATTTCGTGTGTATCCATAATTGTAGCTACGATGGTAACCGAGTAAGGCTGAGTATTTTCGGAACCCGAACGGTTTTCAAAGCACTTGTATGATATTGTATCCGCCCCTGAAAGGAGGAAGAAAAGGAGTATATTCAGGGATTTTTACGAAGATAGATAAGAGAGGTGTCTTTTATTGAAAAAATATAAAATGTCTTATAAATATTTTTTTATTTTTCAATAGACTTAATTAAGCTCGTTGATAGCAAACATGTTTTCACAATTTAGTCATCTCAGTACAAATTCTGGTGGAAATAATAGTTAACCTGCACCGATTTTGCTGAAACTTGACATGTGCTCTAATTTTGCTTAGGAATAGGAAATTATTAAAATTTGGTAAATGTGGGATAATTGCCCCTCCCTCCACTCTTGTGGGCGGAAACATAAAATTTCATCCGATTTCGATTAAATTTAGTTTGTACTGTCCCTTTAATTAGAAAAACCTAAATGTAAAATATGGGGAAGATTGGATCACTATAACGTCTACAACTCGCAAAAAATATGGTCCCAATCATTAAATGTGATAGTTTGTGGTAGTTGTTGTATTCTACTTTCCACTCTCAGAAAAGCAAAGATGTACTTAAAAATTACATAGATGTAAATATTCTCATTTTTGGTGTGACTTTTCCATTGCTCGAAAAATCCTTTTCGCGAAATTACGCAAAAAGAAGCTGAAAATCGAAAAATTGGAAAAACGAAATTGCATATATTTGCAAAGTCGCGCGAAATGATCCAATTATATATTCGAAAACTAAATAAAATTCTCTAAAACATGCCTCTAATTTCAGGACCTGGCGAACCAGTACTCACACTTTATTTTACTAATAATCTTTAGGATCTACATTTCAAAGTCAACTTTTTGATAAGAAAAATAGGAAATAACAGTTGAAAAGGAAACACTTTCTTCGATGGGTTTAGCGCCAAATGCAACTAAACTGATCAGTCGGTATTGCGCCGATTCCAGTATTTTTTCGGAACCGTACCGTTCGAAGGAGAGTGCGTTATTGATCTGAAATTTTGTATTTATGACATTTACTTTTCCCTCTCTAAGCCCAACTGGTTTTTTTTATCAACTGTCACCATGGATTTTTTCCACCTGCCTTCATATAGTCGAAACACTGTGCGTCGGTATGGATTGTCCTCGTCCTACGTCCTACATATGTAAATTGGGCGAAAAAGAAGCTCTTAAGAGGGTTTTTATATCGAGTTTCGCAAAAAAAAAACATCGGGGCGTTCTCATGTTCATGCGAAAGACATACCTGCACTTTTTACCTGCTGTAACGGAAATATTCAATAATTCCTTTACTACATACATATATTCTATGAAAGCGCGTTGGTTTCATTAAATTTATGTATTTTTTCTGCATTAGCTTACGGATTAAGTCATTACTGACATTACAATAAATTCCAAATGTACATACATACATACATACAATTGTGAAATGCATCACAGACACAAAGCCAACGCTCATAGTCAATTAAGGATTCCCGCGTGAAGTATTTACAAATCATTAGCGCTAAGTGATAAATAATCATTTAATACACATAGGGACCAACGAAATCCCAAATAATTTAGTGATCACACCCATCCGCATAAGTACCTTATGAAAGTGCCCTGTAAGGAAATCCACTCGTACAAAGCTGATACCGTTGTATTGACTTTAAAACCATAATTTCCATTTTAACTAATAGAAACCGGTGCGGTCAACGGTTATGAATGCTGTAACAAACATCATAACAGCCGTTAAAATTGGACTGCCATTTTGCTGATCAAATTTTGCCGTGGTTATAAGATTTTTTTTTTTTTTTTTGATCAAGAGAAATCGTTCAGATTAAATTTTTCGATCACTGACAGTTAGTTGTGAGTAATATGATTGCAAGTTTTTGTGTGTGGGCTTCTTGTTGTCTTAATATAAGCATTTGTCACATATCGCTACCACACAACATTCTCTGTATGTATTTCAGTGTTAAAAACATTTAAATCCTGAAAAAAACTTGCTAAATAATTTGCTAAAACGTAATCATAAATAATCCAATGGAGAATAGCTTCTTAGTTTGATTTAATATCAAAATTTCATTGATGTTACCACCAGTACGCTTTGTTCCAAATGAAAATATGGCTGTCAAACTACCAAATTGCCAGCGATAGATGTCAAGCAAAAAGCGCTGACATATATTGCAACCCATGAGAAATAAATGGTCCTATTGGAAATATATTTAAGATTATCACATAAGTGTTTTTTCCTGTGGAGACCGGGCCTTAGAAAGGTGGGAGGTGTCAAGCCTCCCAATTTTTGTTTTTTTTTGTGTACCAGCCTCCAATTAAAATTTTTTTTTAATTCTATAGATTTTTTTTAATATTCATCAATTGAGGAAAAATCTAATGTCGATTCTCCAATTTTTTGAATCGATTCACGAATCGAATCGGAACAAAAAAATCGAATCGGAAGGGCTCGATTAATCGATTTAAAAACGGCATCTCTAGAACACAGATGACTCGCGAATCATACGCTTTTATAGTTTTATCCCAAACGTCTCATTAATATACTTATCCTAATTGTAAATAGCCAGCAAAATTTATTTTTGAATTTTAAAACTATTTTTAACTGACTCCAAAACAGAAGAAGGTTATCAATTCGTCGGAATACATATATATATTTTTATATATATTACCGCATAACTTAGTACCACGTTAACCGACTTCAATAATTCCTTTTTCATCGGAAAGGTGGTACCTTAAGGGTGGTCGTATACTCGTTTCGTTTAGTTCCGATAATTTTATCATGAAGAAATTAATGGTACATCTAAATTGTTATATGAGAATTGAAGTCGGTTGTGTTTTTTGCTTAAAAATTACTTGTCATATATCAGTCCACTGTATGAGGTTCTGAAAGCACTGGCATGAAAACTAGACCGGTATGGCAGTTTCTGACATTAACTTTTACTGGAGTGAGTCCATGCCAGTGCCGGTTTATATTACGCGAGCAACTGGACTGGTATACTGGTATCGTAATGTAAGGGACATTCTACCGTTTAAAAATTATCGAAAAAATATCTTTGGTCGAAAGCATAAAATTCCCAAAATAACGATAAAACTTGGTAGAAAAAATTCAAATCCAAGTTTAAAGTTTATTGCTGACTGAAAAAAATAAAAATTAAGAAATAACGATTTTCAATTATCAAAAAAATAAAAATCTTCTGACCCTATTCATTAAAAATAAAATAGGTTTAAAGAGCCTTATAAATTGATGTTTTCAAACATTTTTAAAATTATAAGCCCAAAAGGCTAAAGCTAAAGCTACTAGGTTATTATTGTTTAACGTCTTGATGTGTCTTGATGTGGTCACACGAAGGAGAGGTTTGCCATTGCCTACCAAAGGGCGACCGCTATTTTTATTTTCTTTTATTTTTGAGGTTAGTCGGAAACTGTGCTCGATCCCAGGCCTAGCGGAATGTAGTGCGCACTTCTAGTCACCACACCGCAGCGGACGTCAAAAAATTAGTTAACTTTAATCAAAAAATCTTCGCAGCATACCCGAACCTCCAAGTTCATTTCATTAATTTATGTTTTTCCATTAGGGTATATTTGCATACACATAATAGAAATACGCCGCAAAAAGTGCGACTAATCCCAGAAACCTCCAGGAGCAATCGTAAAGGAACATGCGACTTATACCACTTTTGATTTCTTTATATGGAATGAACTGTTCGCTTTTGTTCGAAGATATCCTATGAAGAGACTGATTGCTCCCGTTTATACCCTAACGGGTATAAAAAGCGACTAGTCAATTTTAAAAAATAAAAATTTGCGCCAGCTGCCATTCGAACCAGGCTTCTCAGGTTTGTTAAGCAAATACTCTCCCTATGTGCCAACGCCGCACCTAACATTTCATTGACTAAGTGCGTACATATCATTAAATCGTTAATTGTACCCGTTAGAGATGGGTCGGGACTAGTTGCGCCTAATTGATGCTCAATTGTACCCAATCGAGACTAATCTCGGAATACTCTATTTAGAGATTAGTCGCACAGGGTATACGAGTATGTAAACCTAAATACGTAAGTAAATTATTTGGATATTAACTCTCTTTATCAACACCTCGTGAACTGCTGCGCCAGTCAGACCGGCACTACTATTGCAGAATTCTAACAAATGACCAATAAGTAGCACGAGCAACTAAATACATACAAACATATTTAATATTAAATTCATAAGACACATAGACCAATGGGGGTATGGGCTTTCCGAGCCAAAAGACGGTGAAGAAATGAGATATGGTTACGTGTTGCGACGGACCACAATGAACAGCTGTTGGCAAGCATGACATTTCCAATTACATACATATATACATATGTATAGGCGTATGAAATCACAATGTGCGAAACGCATGAAAGTTTTACACACATTTAATTGCCCATAAACTAATAAAGCAACCGCATGTGGAAACTAATGCACACTTTAGTACATTTACTGTAAATGTGACTGGGTGTGCGTAGAAATTGAGATTGAAAGCCAAAGATCGTTACCAAAAGTGCAATAAAATTAGTAGCAATAAGTCGGCAATGAAATACTTTTCAATAGAGAAGTCAGCAATACATACATACATATAAACCATGTAAGTGCCCTTACAAATCGATAGAACTTTGGCGTGATAAATAATTCTTAAATAATTCTATACTAGCAGGGCTTGGGATCTATTTTTTTTTTCAATCTACGAACTACGAGTCAGCCTCTTATAAAATTACCTTAAAAATCGTGGCATTATTGGCATATTAGTAGCTTTTAGGGATCCACCAAAACGCGCATCCGAACAAAAACTTTCTTGCAGAGGAGCCCTCGCCAAGGCACGTCAGAAGGCATCATTACGAACTGACGGACGAAATCCAGAGGTTCATAAAGCAACCTCTGAATCCGACAGCATATCGACAGGCCTTGAGTGGCATTCGCACGGAGTCAGTCTCAAGTTATGTAGACTCCCGACCTGTGAATGACGTTCTGGGCACACAACCACCTGACGCGGACGAGAGAGAGCTTCGTCTGCCGCGGGAGACTGGGCCCACAATAGCCCAACTTCGGCTACTGCAGCAAGTTAAACTCTTACCTGAGAACATTCGATGGAGATGTGCATAACCAATGCCCGGCATGCGGAGAGAAACCCCACGACTCGAAACATTTCTTCGCATGCCCACTAAACCCTACTTAAATGACGCCTCTGCCCCTATGGACTGACCCCATGGAAGCTGCATGCTTCTTGGGTCTTCCGTTAGTTGAGCTTGATGACAATGATTGAGAGACTAGCCGATCTGGGCGGGGTTGTTGTAGAAAGATGTAAATTTTAATGATTGTTAATCGATATTGAAAACCGCCTTCGACAGCATAAAAACAAAAACTGCCTATACGTCGCGATGCCCGATTTAGTATTCGTGTGAAACTATATATTGGAGCTGTGTAAAGTTAAGCTGAACAACATCGCCAACTCTGTCAAAATGGCAAACTTTGGACTGAGTAGGTAAATGAGAACTAAAAGTGCAAAAGCCGCAGTTTTGGCTATTTATTAAGGATATACAGCAGCACGTTTTGGTTTTAAGAAAACATATATATGTATATATACATACATACATATATACGTATTTATATAAACGTACGTATGTATAGTATATACATACATATATACATATGTATATTGCGTCCGTTTTCACTACATCTCGTTATTTGAGTTGTAGATACAAACAGTACAGCCCCACCAATTTAATTTTTCGTTTTATTGTTCCAATTTGCCCTTCACTGCACATACATACTATCTGCTCATATATTTGCATAATTTTCAAAACATTTCATTCCTTCTATTTGAATGCAGATTGCATGCACGTTGCATCCGAACCCGGCGACTATGTATTCAAAAAAGTACCACATATGCTGCCCAATACGAAGGAGGCGCCGCTCATGGAAGCAGCTATAGAAGGCCCGACGTCGGAGGTGTGTGGCCTCTACGTGATTGGTGAGCCCGACACCATTGTCGAAATAACAATGAAACACTACGATGTCAATTGTGCGACCGGCGGTCTAATGGCTGTAAGTTATAAACTTAATTCACAACAAACCCACACCAAACGAAAACAAAACAAAAACAAAAACAAAACCAAAACAAGATGGCAAAAACCAGAACAATGCCACAAAGTTGCATAATGAAGTGGATGAGAGTCGTCCCCTTTGAATTGAATTTTCACCAACACTTAATGCAATTTTCAACTTTCTTTTGTTTGGCATCTGCTCCGCTCCTCTTCGTTTCACTTTTGTAGTTTGTTGATGGCTGGGAGTTGAATGGCGAATATTTTCCAGGCATTAAGGATCATCATCGCGGGCTGGAAGAGCGTGTCGTTGAGTTTTGCAACAATTTCAAGCAGTGGTACGTGAATGGGCATTTAGGGCTTGCCCACACTCTGGCTACCAACAATTGTACTCATTTGTATTACATAAATTATTATCACTTTTTATTTTTTTTTTGCTCGCAGGCCACGTGTTGCGAATAAGAAATTCTTCCGTTCAAGTCAAAATGCTGCGCTGCTGCAGTATCGTATTCCCTTACGAGGCTCTTTCATCGCCCACGTCCGCTTTCACAAAATTACGAAACGTAAGTGTAATCTATCTGAAGTTAGCATTGCTTTATTCGAATGATAAAAATAAAAAAAATAAAAACAAATTAATTTCGCACTTGTCTTCCTTATTGCCGGAGGCAGCTTGCAACGTGCTGGTGCAGGATACGACCGCCATCTTCAATATGGCTAACTCTGGCTATCAACGCAATTGCACCATATCAGCACTCTTCCCAGCCACAGTGGCTGTGGCCAATCTGAAAATCGGCGGCAAGAATGTGCGTGGGGAAAAGGTTAATTACGATGTAAGCAAATGAACCAACACCATGGTGAAGGTGAAAAGTTCCCTAAACGTGACTTATGTACATATGTATATACTACTTTTAGTGCGGCATGTATGATGATCGCTTGGAAATCGGCGGGTCGTCTGGACTGGATGCAATCGCAATGGAGAAGGCGGCCGACGTTTGCGGCTACTCAGATCAGCAGGGTGATTATTAGTGCAACTTGCTTAAGAAATTTTTAAGAAATATCACCGTTAATTTCATGATAAAATCGTTTCTATTTCAGGACCAGAACAGGCCATTTTCTGCGGCGTGACTACGGTGCGTCTGATCTCCACTGGACGATATCAAAATCACGCTACTGTAATTATACGCAAGGCCGACGAAAACGATCTGGACATAGCCACGCTTGTATGTGCTCTGTAAATTTGTAAACTAATCCAACTCGATCGAAGAAAACAAAAAAGTGAAGTGAAATCAAGCAAGAAATAGGTATTGGGGCATAGGTTGGCTGCTTTGTCATTGATTTAATTTTTGGCAGTATTCTCAGCTAAGAAAAACACTTCAAGCCAGCTTTCTTCTACTCTCTTTTTTAGTGTTATTTAATAAATCTGCACGGATTTCCTTTGTTACAAGTATTGTATATATGTATTTGAAACCCCTTATCTCTACATGTACGTATGTAGTATGTACATAATTTATTTAAATGCAAAAAATTCTCCGGGACGGTATGTACTTGTATATGGACAACGCTCCCATTGACCGTTTAATGTTTAAAAATATACATATTAGTTACATATAGAAATAGAGATTACTTACATATACATACATATGTACATACATTTGTATGCATTTTAATGTACATTGTAACTGCAGTAAAAATTATTCATAGTGAGCTGAAAAAAAAAATAGAAAAAATACATACATACATAGCTATCACAGTTTATTCGATGGTTTATTTATGAACGCTTATGACACAAAAATAAAGCGTAAGTACTGAAAGCACAGTTTGGTTGAGAAACTTGCAGCAATTTTGTAGCTAGTATTCGGCCATAATTTAGGCGGGGGATGTGACCTGAACGTTAACGAAAGAAAGAAAGGCAGTTTATAATAATTTTGTTCGCTATACCAGAGATTCCTAAAGTAGGTTCCGTAGAAAAGTCACCAGGATTCCGTGAAATGATTAATTTTTGGCTTTTAAATTTTACAGTTTTGCTACAAGAAAAACAAAACCAAAGTACTTTTCTTTCCATTAACTAGCTTTTTCTTTTATTTTTATTTTAATTTGGCCAGCCAATTAACAATAAATCCGAACTGATATATTAAAGATGATAAAATATGACTTCCAACTCCAATAAATATATATATTTAAAAAACTAGTGCAGACACCGATTGGAATGAGTGCAACGTAAGTTTTAAAGTAGTTTTCAGCGAAAACTGGTTTAGCAGCGAAAGCATGTTTTCGATGTCGGTCAGAACATGGTATAGGACAAATCAGGGCTGGTTCGTTAGCCATCGCTTCAAATTCGGTATGAATAAGCACGGCGCACACTGTGCCCTTTTCAATTTTAGCGTTAGTGCCAAAAGTCGAGTCAATGAAACGGATGCATGAAAATAATTTTTAGACCATAAATGGGCGTGTTATATTATTAACTTATTAGTATTTACTACTAGAACTTATACTTTCCCGGGGCATTTACTTAGAAAAGGTAATAGTATTCCTCCAGCTCTTCTTGAAATTGAAACGCTAAATAATGTCAGGCTAATGTGACTATGCCAATACTATTTCATTTCAGAAAGAATGTAAATTATAGTATACAGTATTTCTCGGATATATGCACCGTCGAAAATAAACGATATTCTGTGCTTATAAGCGGAAAGTGCTTGTATGAAAATGCCGCTTATCATCACTGACTGTGCTTATATTGAAATCCTCGGTTGTATTACCGGTCTATGTAGCAAACATAAATAAATGTGCAACAAAATCCAAAACCAGTGCAAGTGAAACATAAAGGAATTTCAAAATTAACAAGCAAAAAAGTCTTAAGTTCGGGCGGAGCCGAACATTAAATACCCGGCGCAAAACTACCGCCATGTGGTAAACAAGGTTGGTTTTAGGTCTGTTTCAAACATCTTACAATGAGATAAACTTAGATAGACACATGTGGGCGGCACCACGCCCATTTTCCAAAATTCCGTTTTATAATGTCACTCGTTGTTGGTATCAATTTTGGGTATAGAAAAAGCGGGCGTAATTATAGTCAGATTTCAAGATTTTTCAACGTTTTGCCTTTATGTGGCAAGCACAATAATCATACCGAGTTTGGTACAAATTGGTAGAACGGTTACCGAGATACATATATGTGTATGTATAAGTGGGCGGGGTCACGCCCATTTTCCAAAGTTTTATTATATGCGCATTTTTTGCTAAAGAATTATTGCAAACATCAGTTTTGAATAAATTATCTTCAGTGTTTATTGATTTATTCAAGCTTTTGTATTTCTCCAAATTACCGTTATATGAGATGTGCGCGTGGTTATTGTCCGATTTTAAAAATTTCTAGTCATTTGGTATGTTTTATTAATGCCAACAACAGTGCTAATCGGTAAAGCGGTTACCAAAATATACACATGTAATCATAAGTGGGCGTGGCCACGCCCATTTGTCAAAAATTGATAATATTATTATTTTTCGCCAAAATATATTAAAATATTAATTTTGAGTGAATACGCGTCAGTAGTTACTAAAATATCGCAGCTTTCGTATTTCTGGAAACTACCTCCCATAGGCGTGGTTATCGTCCGATTTTGCCCATTTTCAATAACATCCGTCCTACGCTGAAAAGAAGTATACATACCAAGTTTCGTTGAGATATCTCAATTTTTACTCGAGTTATCGTGTGCACAGTCGGACAGACGGACGGACAGACATTCACCGCTTAATCGATTTCGTTTTTCATTCTGATCATTTATGTATACATTTGTCTATATCTATCTCGAATCGTTTTGCCTGTTACAAACAACCGTTATTTGCTCAAAATAATAAAAGTCAAAAAATAACTAAAATTTTTTCATTTTTATTATAAAACGCATAATCGGTACGGTCTCTGCTTTTAATAAATAGAGATACAACTATTTAGCATTGCAAAGCATTATGCAATGCCAGCAAAGTAATGGAGATAGCCAAGCTTACTGCTGAAATGCGCACAGCAGACGCACCATCCCCTTCGGAACTATCCGTTGTGGTAACCGAACTCTCGGTTGTGGTAACCGAACTCTCGGTTGTGGTAACCGAACTCTCGGTTGTGGTAACCGAACTCTCGGTTGTGGTAACCGGACTCCCGCTTGTTGTGTTTTCGGTGTCCAACTGCCAATGAGAATAAAATTTAAAGAATAGATAACAATTATTTTTCCCTTAAATCCTTGAAAATCCTAAAAAAACCTAGTATAGGTCGTAGCTCTGATCGAATAATTCATGAAAATATGTTTAAAATTTTCTTAGCGCCCTCAACTAATTCATAAAAACCAATTCAATTTTACTGACTACATGAAAAAAGTTGTCTTATACAATTTTTAACAAAATGACGTAGAAATGACAAAAATACAAAAAAAAATTGTCGTTAGTTTTAGACTGCTTTCTAGATCCATATTCAAATTTAAAATTGCTGATCAAATATCTAAGTGGTTAGCTCCAAATGTTATTTTATGAAGTCGTAAGTTGAGAATTTGAGGCCTTTTGAAAATTTCTAAGTATGTCTCGACCAGATGTATTAACTGTACTCGGCCACTGAAAAAGCGCGTACAATATTCTTGAAGTCTTTACGCTAGGGATGTCAGTGGCAAAAATGCATCGATGTTTTTCTTTGATTCGATGCATCAAATGTACATCGATATTTTTCATTGCATCGATTTGCATAGGAATTTTAATTTGAAATAAATTACTGCAAGAGAGCGAACTATGTTTCTAACGAAACTTTTTGGAGCCATTAAAAGTTTTGGTCAAGTGACTACTAGAGATGTCAGTTTTCAAAAAACATCGATATTTTCGAAGTATCGATGTTTTTCCGACATCCCTACGTTACGCACAGTTGGCTGTATCGGAAAAGTAGATGAACAAAACTCCAAAATTTGAAGTGGTGAAACCGGTTCCAACATTGTATGCAAGTATTCTGGAACGTCTAACGAGCAGCTCTCTCCACTCTAGAAACGGAGCAAAGTTTGTAAGATGGCCCCTTCCACTTGTGAATACCGCGCTTCCTCGTTTACCCGCCTCACCACGGAATGTCAGTCTTTACTTCAGAAAGATTTTGGACAGATTACAATATTGTTTTTTTTTTTTAATTAAAAGTGAGAATTGTGTGTGTGTTATTTTGACAAGGACGATTTTTAATTCTCAACAATTTAAGAAAGTTAAAAACTGTACAAAATATGAAACCCGAAGTCATCTAAAAATCCGACTATGACCGAACATATAAATTAAGTTCATAAAAAGTTGCATTAGACACTCTTCACTACTTTGTCAGATAAATGAGTTTAGGTGAGTTCCTAAATTTCAAAAGTAAAGCGCAAACAGATGCAAAAGTACAAGGTCAATTTCTTTTATTTAGATTTCTGATCTATTCCGCTGTATGCCATTTTTGATTTTTGAAAAACCAAGTTGGATACCAAGTTGTTTAAAATACATAAATTTTTGATAACTGGACCACCATAGTGGATCCGCAGTTTTGAATTTATGAAAACGGATTTCAGATTCGTAATCAGCGACCTCAAAACCCCCCAGGTACTATCTTTCTTAAAAAAAAAAAAATATAGACTAGTTTTGTATGCCTAGTTTTCCTATTCAGCCCACTATGCGCCGTGCAATTAACTTACGGCAACTTTAAGTTTCTCCTGCAGCTGCTCACAGCGCGTCTTCTGATTGTTTACAGTGGTTGCTAATCGGCAGATCGTACTTAACAGGCAATCCCGGTTGCATCCCCAATTCAATTGTGGATCGGCAGTTGTCATTTTGTATTGCCAAAACTAGATTAGAAATAGAATGCATTTTATCGAAAGTTAAAATAAGACGAATATCACATCAATTTACTTTTCTGAGAATGCTTGGGTTTTCAGCCATTTCCTCCAGTAGCTTGTCGATACCAGCTGGGCTCAAGTCTTCAGTAAACTCCTTAGAGAATTCATATTCATTGAACCAACGCGGGGTTTGAGATTCACCATGAGCGTTGGCTTCCGTCAAGTTGAAGATCCATGTTTCATGATCCACAACTTGCTAGATTTGTTACAGATAAAATAGTTATGGTATGGGACTAAAGAAGACTTTAGGTTTCAGTTAGTTTCTAATTTACCATGCTTGCGGGGTCCACTTCGTATAGTCGATAGTTCGGATTCTTATTCGAATACGTAGTTAATGAGCCGCCATTCCATACCACCCCAATCGCATGTCCATTAGCCGAGTAATGCAAATGCATTTCGTCCAAATGCGAATGGCCATTGAATATGCCGCTAATTGTGCCCCGGAAACGAACCACTAATCTGTTAAACTCTCGCGCCCACACCGACCAGCAGGAGGCATCCCCTGTCGGAATGTGCGCCAGAATGTGAACAAATTCGCCAGCCTTTTCAGCGGCCAACAGAGTTTCATGAAGCCACTGCAGTTGTGGAATCTTGTCGGTGCCATCGTAGTACAACCACCAGTTGCTGGTGTAGCAATCGTTGTTGTTCAAAGCAATCACGCGAAAGCCGGCTTTTGGCGAAACCGTGTAGTACCCGCCCTTTAGAATTGTATCCTTAGTTTCGGCCGGCAGCCAGGTGGACCATTGTTCATACAACTCTTCATACAACCAATGGGTGTTGATCTCATCTGGCACATCATTTGGGCTGAAACTTTATGAAAAGAGCAATAAAACTGCTTCCATGAACACTTGGGAAGTTTTTAATTAAACTTACACATTGAGAGGATGTGGTTCATGATTACCAATGCAAGGATACACCGGTATGCCTGGGAATAGTTCAGCCAAACGATCATTTACCCTCTTTAATGCATCGGCGTTCTTTTCTGTGGATGTTCCCCAGACCATGTGATCTACGATATCTCCGGTTTGATAGATATAATCGATGCTGCTGTGCGTTTTCTTAATGTGGTTAAAGGCGTCGTCAATCGTTTGCCAAGGCGCATCGCAATCGCGATAGTCACCCCAGTATCCGGCGGCCTTATCACTCTCGGTAGAAC